TTGCTTTAAGCATTTATCTTTAAGTAAGCCTGACTATATGGCCTTCTATATAACAATTTTTTAATTTAAGCTTTTTACATTTCTGTGTTAAGGAACCACATTCCACAGAATAAGAATGCAGAAAATATTTTAATAAATATAAAGGAATGCCATTTACATGAAAAGAATATACATTTTCACTTTACATTCCAATGTAAAAGGCTTTCTGGATATCAGCACTTGCCACAAACTATTCTCTGTCATTTCCCTCCCATCAATGCAATAGCTTTTTGAAAGGTCCAGATATTGCATTTATTTGTCAACGGTGAGAAGCACCAGCCTGTTTATGGCAAGAGCTTTTATTTTGGCAAACATTTTAAAAAATGAAATAAGATGGTGAGCAACTTATGTTGATTAAATCCTGTAAATTTTATTTATAGCCATTCCTTTTTATTTTTCTTCCCTTCGGCAGCTCTCTATGCCATTCTTTATCTCATCCCTTTTTACAGCCAGTAAAACGTGGTAGAAATGGAAGTGAAGTCAAGTGAGGAGGTAAAATGTGAAAATGAAGGCTGCCAGGCTGGCCCAAAGTCGATGATATTATGGAGGTGGATGAAAATGACAGGAAAATACTGATTGAACCAATACAATATATTTAGTGCACGTCAGTTCAGAAGCGCATACAACATTATAGCTCTATCATGAATGAAGTATGAATCGGAAACACAACAATAGCCTTTAAAGAATTAATGAAACATGCACACAGGAACACAAACAAATTGCTTAGCTTTGCAGCAATATTCATTTTCAGACAAAGATCTCCATCTAATGGTGAACGATGGAAATTCTCCAAAAAATATTTTAGCTCAGGAATACATATATGGATAATAAGCAAGGAATCCATTTTTCCATGAAGACAATCTGATAATAAAATACACTACCAAGGGCCAGACTTAAAACAAGACCTGAGGAGGTTCAGACTGTTGCAAGGATAATCACTAATAATTGAATACATTTAACACAACTATATATGGTATTGTAACATTTTGTTTACAATGTGCATGCTCAAACTTAAAGGAACACTGCCAATGCTTGATTTTTCTTTCAGTTTCCCTTTACTTATATAAAATGTATCTGTGCCAAGTCGTCATACCTGGGTGCCTTCACTTTCTTCTCCTCTGTCTATGTCTGCAGTTTGACTTTCTGTGGGATTCTTTTGACTGAAGAATTGTAGGTAAATTAGCTGAGGAATGGAAATGGAACTTTGCTTTAAGGGACACTATCGACACCAGAACAACTACAGCAAAATGTAGATGTTCTGATGTCTATACCATGACCCTGCAGGCTTTTTGTTGTAAATACTGCCTGCCTTTTCAGAGAAAAGGCAATTGCAGCCAATGAACACCTCTAGTGGCCACTTCTGTGACAACCACAATGTGCAGCACTGACATTCTGCGTCTCCACGCTCTGCATTGTGATTGGCTGAGATCATCACTTCTGATGTCAGCCAAGGAGATGAATCGGGGTGGAGCCAGAGGCAGTGAACCCAAGCGGTGCTGAAAATAAGGTAAGATCTTACTATATTTAGGGGACAGGGGGTCAGTTAGGAATTTTAACATTATAGGGTCAGGAACACTTTTTTAAGGTGTTCCTTTAAGCTCCAACCACAACTTATTCTTATTTATAACTAAACAACTAAGGTGAATGTCAAAACAAGGTAAATTAAAGGGACAGACAAAAAACAAAGCATGTGGCAAAGCGGCTTTAAATGGAACTACACATAGTTTGTTTATACAGATTCCCTTAAAAGTTCCCTTAAAAAGTTGTTTTTAGATATACATAAGAAATAGTAGGGACCACGCTTTCCTAAGTAGAGCACGATAATCTTCACAGACATCCTGGACAGGGGAGAACAAAATAGCTGAGCCTGGAAATAGAGATCCAGCACAAGAACGGAATAATATTAAAAGTATAATAATACAATTTGCAAGGGGTAGCATTATTACAAAGACACAAAGAGCATAGAGAAAGGAAAATGCTTGTACAATGACTGTTACAGATTTATTATGTGTGTGTTCTGTGTGTGTTGTGTTTGTTAAACAGTTTAAAAAACTCACCATTGAGGAGACTGATCGGGCGTCCTCTTCATAATTTACTATGGGAGGTGGCTCTTTGCCCTCGTTCTCTTTAACTTTCTGATCGAGCAGCTCCTTCTGAGCAGACAGTTTGGCCTCCGTGCATTTGAGGTGTTGAATAGTCTGCTTGAGTTCTTCCAGCGTCTGCTTTTGGCCAAGTAATAGTGCAATACTATGGAGGAAAGCAGAATCGTACATGCTTGTCAGTCGTTCAGGCTACTTTGCACTGCCCAGCCATCCCGGCCACTTTGAGTTGAGGGATAGGAGGGCAGGCATAGATCTGAGAAAATCAAATGTACATAATGCTATCGGAGTGGGCTAAAAAGTAAAAGCACGTGGTGATTTAACATTTGGTGGCAGCAAATTAAAAAGCACACAGTTATGTAGAAAATATCAGAAGCTCTGATGTTGAATAAAAATGTATAATAAAAAAAAAATAAAGAATACACAAACTCACTCAGATTTTTTTTCACAAAGGCTGGCCGATTCTTCAGTTTTCTTTTCCAACTCAGACAGTTGTTCCTCTTTGCTTAGTAGTGATTGCTGTGTCTGGGACAGTTCTTCAGACGCGGTTTTTAACCTGCAAGACACGCTACAATTTAGTGACACGCAGCAAAATGAAATATAAAAAGACATCAAATGGACTACATCTTACAGTGAGTGAAAATGAGTTAGATGAAACCACATTTAAAACCAGTCTTTCACAAAGTCCCAAATACTAGAAAAGTGTAAATTTTTCTCTTTTCAAATGATCACAATCTGTTGGAAAAAATTTCAAACTATTTATCTACATATGGTGCCGTTAAAGTCTATGTGGATTTTTGTAGAGAAATCATTTGCAATTTTTTCTAACAGATTGTGATCTTTTTGAAAGCTTATCCAAGAATATTAAATGGAGGCCCAAGTATTTTTACTGATTGCCAATGGCTGTACGTATATTTTACTATTTACTGAATTATGGAAACACATTATTATTGTTATTATTGCCATTTATATAGCGCCAACAGATTCCGTAGCATTTTACAATATTATGAGATGGGGGATTTAACTATAAATAGGACAAGTACAAGAAAACTTACAGGAACGATCGGTTCCCTGCTCAAACAAGCTTACAGTCTATAGGAGGTGGTGTGTAAACCACATTAGGACAGGAAATATCAAATGAAATATCATGATTTACTTTCAAGTAAAGCCATTCAAAGAGGCTAGCAATACACTTGAAAACAGCACATAAAGGAAGAATCCATGAAAATGGCACATAAAGGAAGAATCCATGAAAATGGCACATAAAGGAAGAATCCAGGTAAATGGCACATAAAGGAAGAATCCAGGAAAATGGCACATAAAGGAAGAATCCAGGAAAATGGCACATAAAGGAAGAATCCAGGAAAATGGCACAGGAAAATGGCACAAAGGAAGAATCCAGGAAAATGGCACATAAAGGAAGAATCCAGGAAAATGGCACATAAAGGAAGAATCCAGGAAAATGGCACATAAAGGAAGAATCCAGGAAAATAGCACATAAAGGAAGAATCCAGGAAAATGGCACATAAAGGAAGAATCCAGGAAAATGGCACATAAAGGAAGAATCCAGGAAAATGGCACATAAAGGAAGAATCCAGGAAAATGGCACATAAAGGAAGAATCCAGGTAAATGGCACATAAAGGAAGAATCCAGGAAAATGGCACATAAAGGAAGAATCCAGGAAAATGGCACATAAAGGAAGAATCCAGGAAAATGGCACAAAGGAAGAATCCAGGAAAATGGCACATAAAGGAAGAATCCAGGAAAATGGCACATAAAGGAAGAATCCAGGTAAATGGCACATAAAGGAAGAATCCAGGAAAATAGCACATAAAGGAAGAATCCAGGAAAATGGCACATAAAGGAAGAATCCAGGAAAATGGCACATAAAGGAAGAATCCAGGAAAATGGCACATAAAGGAAGAATCCAGGAAAATGGCACATAAAGGAAGAATCCAGGAAAATGGCACATAAAGGAAGAATCCAGGAAAATGGCACATAAAGGAAGAATCCAGGAAAATAGCACATAAAGGAAGAATCCATGAAAATGTGACATAAAGGAAGAATCCAGGAAAATAGCACATAAAGGAAGAATCCAGGAAAATGGCACATAAAGGAAGAATCCATGGAAATGGCACATAAAGGAAGAATCCAGGAAAATAGCACATAAAGGAAGAATCCAGGAAAATGTGACATAAAGGAAGAATCCAGGAAAATAGCACATAAAGGAAGAATCCAGGAAAATGGCACATAAAGGAAGAATCCAGGTAAATGGCACATAAAGGAAGAATCCGTGAAAATAGCACATAAAGGAAGAATCCAGGAAAATAGCACATAAAGGAAGAATCCAGGTAAATGGCACATAAAGGAAGAATCCAGGAAAATGGCACATAAAGGAAGAATCCAGGAAAATGGCACATAAAGGAAGAATCCAGGTAAATGGCACATAAAGGAAGAATCCATGAAAATAGCACATAAAGGAAGAATCCAGGTAAATGGCACATAAAGGAAGAATCCATGTAAATGGCACATAAAGGAAGAATCCAGGTAAATGGCACATAAAGGAAGAATCCCGGAAAATGGCACATAAAGGAAGAATCCCGGAAAATGGCACAAAGGAAGAATCCAGGAAAATGGCACATAAGGGGGCGTGGTCTCGGCGCGAACCAAGATGGACGCGTAAAGGGAGAGCTCCGCTCCACTGGACCCTACTACAGCTATAACGGCACGCAACCGACAGCTAAATGGGCCGCAACAAACGACCGGAGCAGCCCCAGACACCGAAAATCCCTCAACAAGGCCCCCTGGACGGATTCCTACACCCACAACCCGGCGCAAGCGGGGAACCAGTAGGCCCCAAGATGGCGCCGCCATCCCCGTCGGGGACGGAGAGCACAGCCCTCGATCGAATTGAAGAGAGGCTGCGCAGTCTCACAGCCTCCATGGCCACAAAAGATGACCTCAAAACACTCACCACCACCATACAGGACACCCTCAGAGCAGAGATGGCTGGGATCAGAGCTGAGGTAACTGCACACGCTGGCCGCATCACACTACAAGAAGAGGCCACTGAGGCCCTTACAACTCGTGTAGCAACTGCAGACACTGCAATAGCCCGCCAGGGTACAATGCTCCTCTCTATGAGAAGACACCTTGAGGACCTGGATAACAGGGGTCGGAGGTGCAACATACGCATTAGGGGCATCCCAGAGGCAGAAGGGCCACCAGAAGATGTGGTGGAAATACTTACTGAACTTTTTCAGTCCATCCTGCAACCAACCTCACCGCAGCACATAGAATTTGAAAGGGCACACAGAACCATGCGGCCCAGAACCCTGGAGGATGGGCCGAGAGATCTAATATGTTGCCTGCACTCTTTCCCAGTAAAAGACACAATTATGAGAAAAGCACGAGAAAGACCAACCTGGCCCTACAGAGGCTCCCAAGTAGCATTATACAATGATCTATCCCCAATCACACTAGAGGCTCGACGAGCCCTCCGCCCCGTGACGACCGCACTACGGGAACGAGACATCACCTATAAATGGGGGTTCCCTTTCGCATTGCTGGCCAGGCATCAAAATGGCTGGATCTCATTACGCTGGCCCGAGGAAGTTCCGCGATTCATGGAAGAACTAGGCCTTCCAGCACCGACAGTCCACAACTGGATACTGGGAACATGGGCCCCAACCCAGAGGCCGCAAAGAGGGCCAGTCGGAGAGGAACACGGTCCCCCTCTGTTCAGCCGGCCAGACGGCGCAGAAACCCGACTTCCCCGGAAGAGTGAGTGCAGACCCGTCTAACCCGTTAAACACCTCTTAACATCCCGAGTCACGTGGCCCCTTAACAAGCACCTAAAAGCCACCTTCCGAAGAAAGTCACTTCGATCCCTATTAACAGAGCAGAGCTACTAACTTAGACTGGGACAATTGCAGGTATGCCGGGACTATACACAAAGGGCTTTGGGTGGGGGGGTTCAAGGGAACATGGGTCCACCCTGGGTGATCAAGCTTCCACCAAAGTGCACCTCTCAGGCTTACCCCCTTCCCCTTAGTGCAATGACTGCCACCTCTTCACGGAGACCTGGGTACACATATTTGGTAAGGGGGTGTTTCGGGTTCAGGCAGGGACGCATACCATAACGAATTGGGCACTAACCCTCCTCCCGGAATCCCCAACACTCATGCCGCTGAACGAAGGCGCAAGACTCACCAGCATAATACAGAGCAAGTAGACTTTGGATGAGGAAACGCGTTGAATACCGTTCCCAGCACCCATCACAATGTTGAATCCTAAGCTATGTATGTGACCAGGGGGAGGGGGTTGACAGAAGAGAAGGGTGTGCAAAACGATTCACCTCATCACACATGCCTTGCTGACATATGACTGGTACCACCTACTATCACGCTGATCAAAAAAGGCCCTTACGGCTACACATAGATGTAAACACGGGGTGACGAGGGCCACTGACCCGGGAAATCCCACAACCCAACACTCGGGGGGGACCTCCCTCCACCCCACACAGGACAGCAGCCAAATGGGGAACATGGGGACTCACATTGAGGCTGGGTAACTGCTGACGGTTAAGGGGTCTTCTGGGGGACATCGGGTGATGTTAATGAAGCAATGTTGAAATGTTGAAACCTTTTTATGTTCTACTATGTTATGTTGTTTACACTATGTACCTAAGACATGGATACTCTCCTCGTTACGTACCCCCCCTACAATGATCAGATATTAAGACAGAGAGACACAGACAGAGAACACCCAGGGGAGTGGACAGTCTCCTACTACCGAGAAGACGGACAGAGTAGACCAACGACTACTAAGTCTGCATACTTGGCCTATGTTTTCACAATAGCGTTGTCACTGGTACAACCACCACGCACACCCACCCCACTTCTCCACACTATAGAGTAGAACACAATACCCACGGGAGTAGTGGATCAGGACCACCTCGGGCACGGGAGGGTAAACACCGTCCCAGGGGGCACGCAGACAAGGCTAGGGACATTAATGCGAGGGGAGGGACACTGAAACCAACAATTCTGGGGACACCGTCTCGACCATAGTGATACAAACTTAAACCCACAAGACACGCCCCGCAAATACAGGAGAATTAGCTTTACACGACACTACCAAAAGAGGGTCCGGTGGGGTAGACGACCCCACTCTTGAGTTAACTACCTTCTTGGGCGGAGCCTGACTTGCGTTTCCCCACATACTTACTCGTGCTAAGAGTAGTGCAGACAGGCTATAGGCGCTCTCGACCTCTGGGCAGGTACCGAAGCGAGACTCCCCTCTAGTGCTGTCTGCAGCACGAGACCTACAACCTCTATTTCCCCGTACGGGATTGGAATTCGGGTTCACCCGACCCACAGACCAAAGCTACACTCCGGACACACTTCTTTCTATCGTTACTATAGGTCTCGTTCGGTCCCGGCCCAGGGTTCCCCGGGCTTGGGTTCCCGTCTTGGGGAACTAAAATACTACCTTTTCACCCTTCCCCCCCCCTCACCCCCCCTTTTTTTTTTCTCTCTCCTCCTCTTCTTCTTTTTCTTTCCCCCCTCCCTTTCTCCTTTCTTATACGAATCGGACTTAAGGGAACACTTCGCTTGTACCGCGAGAATGGCATACCGAAATACACCCCTGAGGATCCTCACCCAGAACTGCAGAGGCCTCAATATCCCTGAGCGTAGGACTCACCTACTGAGGGAGCTGAAGCAAAAACATATAGCGGTGGCCCTGATCCAGGAAACCCACTTCAAGGAAGGCGCGGCACCTAAGCTACAAAACAAACACTACCCGAACAACTATTTCTCTAATCACTCGACGTCACATAAAGCGGGCACAGCCATACTCTTAGCAGCCGAGCTTGAATTCAAAGAATTAGAGAGATCACAAGACTCACACGGACGGTATCTCTTCCTGAAAGGAATCATAGCCGACAAAATATACACCCTGGCGAACATCTACGTCCCCAACCGAAGACAGGCTTCCTTCCTCCGAAATACGCTGCACATATTAGAAGAATTCACTGACGGCATACTAATCGTCGGAGGGGATTTTAACGTACCTCTAGACCCAATATTGGACTCCTCATCGGGACATAGTAGTATTTCACAAAACAACATCCGATCGATCCGAAAATCGCTGGAGGAACTGAGGCTGGTAGACGGCTGGAGAATACTCAACCCAACGGTAAAAGATTATACTTACTACTCCGCTCTTCACAACCGATACTCTCGCATAGACTACCTCTTCATAACACAAGAAGGACTCGCTCGCTTACTCAAAGCGGATATCGACCCGTCTACATGGTCGGACCATGGCTCGGTCAAGCTAGAGATGGAATCCCCCATGTTTCGCCCAACTACGTGGACGTGGAGACTTAATGAAGCTCTCCTACTCGATCCAGCCACCAAAGAACAAATAACCAAAGAGCTAGAACAATACTTCAGAGACAACGACACACCAGAGGTCTCCCCGATAACCATATGGGAAGCGCATAAGAGCGTCATTCGCGGAACACTCATCCGCATTGCCTCGCAAAAACGGAAAGCGAATATGATCGAGATGACTAACCTATATCAAAAGATTTCAAAGCTGGAAAGTCAACACAAAAGATCCCAACTACATGAAACATACGGGGAACTGATGGAACATAGAAGGGCACTCAAGAGACTCATCACAAAAAAACATCTTCGAAATCTCCAACGCACGAAGGGTTCTACTATGCGCACGCCAATAAAGGGGGGAAATACCTGGCCAGATTATTAAAAGGCCCAACGCCTCGTAGACAAATACGCAAACTTCGCCTCTCCTCAGGAGAAATGACCCCCTACCCACAAAAAATCGCCGATGAGTTTAGGACCTACTATGAAACCCTTTACAACCTGAGCCCACCCATGGGGACGACGAGCGACGATAGAAGAGCTACTCAGATACGAGATTACCTTTCTGACACGATCGTCAAAACGATTAACCAGGAATCAGCTTCGGCACTCGACATGCCAATCAGCACGGAAGAGCTTGCGGCTGCGCTGAAAACGTCCAAATCAGGCAGGGCACCTGGACCAGATGGTTTTTCAACCGGATACTATAAGACCTTCCCAGATCTCCTGATACCATGGCTAACTAAAGCGATCAACGCGGTAGGTGACGGAGGGCACCTGGGCGCGGAATCCTTAGCCGCGACCATCACGGTCTTGCTCAAGCCAGGAAAGGACCCATTGCTTTGCGGCAGCTACCGTCCCATTTCGCTGCTCAATGTAGACGCCAAACTAACCACGAAAGTCATAGCTAGCAGGCTCAACAACTTTCTTCCAGAACTGATACACGCAGACCAGACAGGCTTCATCCCGGGCAGAGAGGCCAGAGATAGCACCCTGCGACTGTTCTCAATCCAACAACACGCAAGAAAGACAAAAACTAAAATGCTATTACTATCCACGGACGCGGAGAAAGCGTTTGATAGAGTCGACTGGTCGTACATGATGGCCACCTTACAACATATGGGATGCGGACAGAGACTACTCGCATGGGTATCAGCTTTCTATAGCAAACCGCACGCAAATGTGAGAGTAAACGGAGCCACGACAGCGGACTTTACAATAAACAATGGTACCCGTCAAGGTTGCCCACTGTCCCCACTTTTGTTCGCTATGACCTTAGAACCACTGCTCCAGAAGATACGACTGAACCCAAACATTCAAGGATACGACTGGCGTGGAACACACCATAAAGTGGCTGCGTACGCGGATGACCTCCTATTCTTTATACAACACCCTAGGACAACTCTACCATGCCTCCTTTCCGAATTCGATAATTTCGGGAAAATCTCGGGCTTCAAACTCAATCTCTCAAAGTGCGAGGTCCTGAACATTATGATCCCCACGGAAGAATACATCTCCCTGGACTCGCTATTCGCTTTTCACTGGTGTTACGGCCGGATGAAGTATCTGGGCATTTGGGTGACCACAGACCCAGAAGACATATACCGTCTCAATTTTGTCCCCCTTCTGAAAACAATTCTAGCGGACTTAGCTAGATGGTCGTACCCACATGTAACCTGGCATGGACGAGTCGCGATCCTCAAGATGAACATATTGCTGAGAATTCTATACCTTATGCAAACGATTCCACTAACCATCCCAAGGACCTTCTTCTCCACCCTGAAAACAGCGATAATAAAATTTGTATGGCGAGGGGAACGCTCTCGAATTCGACATGACATACTCTGCCGCCCAAGGAACCATGGTGGACTAGCCTTACCAGATGTCAAAAAATATCACCAAGCTACAGTAATGCAACGGATACTGGATTGGCACCAGGAACCTACAATGAAACAATGGGTAGAACTCGATAAAGGCCTTATCGGACCAACACTGGAAATGAGGATATGGGGAACGACGAGAGACCCGATGGCCCACAACAATGAGGGGCTGATAACGCAAACAATCGCCGGTTGGAGATCGCTAAGAGACCAGAGCTATATATCGCCCACCCCTAGCCCGATGATTCCACTCACCCATAACGCGGCCTTGGGACGTGGACTCCCGCCCGGCGCATGGCCCATCCCAAGCAAGAGGAACTATATCCCCATATATAAAGCCCTCGAAGGTGGCAGAATCCGGGATCTAACTGCATTACTAGGGGATGGTCCAAGGACCCCCCTCACGGTACTCAGATACCTACAGTTGAAACACTACCATGATACAATGCCACATAAAGAACGCTTACACAGAGACCTCACCTGGTTCGAGGGCCTCTGTGACAATGGCAGCACACTTGACCATGCTAT